CCCTGCTGCTAACGTGGCCTGCTGACTTGGCCTGCTTCTGTGGTCTGCTGACGTGGCCTGCTGACGTGGCCTGCTGACGTGGCCTGCTGACGTGGTCTGCTGACGTGGCCTGCAAGCTATATCCATTAGGAAGTCATAGTGCCAGCATGCCCAAACATGATCACGAGTCTGGCAGGTGGCCAACATTCAACATATCAGCCAAGTAGCTTGGCGTCCGAATATCCACTCACGCCAGTGGAAGGGTGTTATGGACGAATTGGTTGCCGTCCCTGGGCATGGGATCACTAAGACCCAATTAGTTCAATTATTCTTTCGTGCCATGCTCGATGCTTTGCATGGGCACTTCTTTGAGAAGAGTAAACAACCTGCCACTACCTACGATACACTGAGTAGGGAAGTGGTGGCTTTTCAAGCCTAGTCCATGTCAGCATCCACTTTCTGGCACAAAGATTTGGATAAGGGGCAAAAATGGGAGGGCCGTACCATCTCTGGCCAAATCAGGTACGTTAGATGAAGGTGGTATGGAAAGAGGTCCCCTACAGTCAGATCGAGTGGGGCCTAGAGGAGGAAGATAGTAGCACTAGTCAGGGGAGGACTTATGCTGCTGTCGCGGTTGGAGGGAGGCCGCAAGGAAGAGGGAGAGTCCAAGGCCAAGGGGGCCAGGCCTCTGGTGGTCGAGGACATGGCGATCAGGGGGTTGGTGGCAGAGGAAACCGCCAAGAGGGAGGTAGGGGTCAAGGTCCCCTACAAAACCGTCCTCGTGACTATTGATGACCTCCTAGGAGGGGTGAATGGCACCCTGGCCTACCACAAGGCAGACCTTAGGAAGCGCTGGGCTTGGAGCAAACAATTTGGTAGAAGAGAATAAACGTGGATCAGAGCATTTACTGCGGTCATCCGGGGCACATTATTAAATTGCCCCAAATATAGAGATCCTCGACGAGCTGCTGCATAGGCAACAAAAGGCAACGCGGGTAGGGGTCACAAGTGCCCTTACCCCTAGACCATGTGGAGAAGAGGCGCGCACCATAGAGAACTCCTAAACCACGTGTCTATGGCAGAGGTTGCTGGCCAGTGCCTAGGTAGCTGTCTAGAGACTGCTTGCGTTAGAGTCGCTCTAGGCACTTCCCTCACAGGTCTGCTTGCGTTAGAGTCTCTCTAGGCACTTCCCTCACAGGTTTGGCAGAAGAGTTGAAGGAGAGGATGCCAGCTTGGGCCAAGATGAGAAAGGATGGAAAGGGACAACTAGTGGTAGTAGATGTAGAGGTTTTTAGAGGCAGAGTAGGGGCCCTTATAAACAGTGGGGCCACCAGAAGCTACATTAGCCATAAAGCGTTGTAGAAGTTGAAGTTGAATTCGGAAGTCCAGAAATTAGAAGAACCTATAATCAGTATCCTCGCAGACAATCGCACCATGCGAATCGAGGATTGCGTCGAGGGAGTCCAGGCATATTTTCGCCTAGAGAAAGATGGGAAGGTACCCTGACTCTCCTCGTAGAGGACAGTCTCCCATTCGATATGGTCCTAGGAATGGACTAGGGAGAGGCAGCAGGAGCCATGCTCCATTTGAGAGAGCACGAGTGTAGGCTCCCTAACCCATCAGGTGAAGTCAAGACTGCTCGTATGTTTCATGTGTCAGGGGTAGACAACCCCTTAGCACATCGCTGCCTCAGCGGTCCTGCATTCGCAAGATTAGTGAAGAAGAAACAGCTAGAAAAACAAGTCTTTGTAGCCTACGTTAGGCCAGTTACTGAGCCTGAACAGGAAAAGCCAATCGACCCTCGCATTGCCAAGCTGCTGGAAGAGTATGCAGATTTGTCTGAGCTGGCTATAGTAGTGCTGCGACCAATCCAACATCGCATTTTGATAGAGCCTGGCAGTAGGACTCCTAAGGGAGCTGTATATAGAATGTCCCCAAGGGAGTTAGAGGAGTTAAGCAAGCAGTTATACGAACTCGAAAAGGGTTGAATTAAGCCTAGTTCGTCTCGGTTTGGAGCACTTGTCCTGTTCGTCCCCAAGAAAGAAGGAGAGTTAAGAATGTGCATGGACTATAGGGGTTTTAACGCCGTCACAGTGAAGAATGCAGAATCACTGGCCCGAATGGATGATCTGTTGGATCGGGTGCAGGGTTGCAAATAGTTTTTCGAGATAGACTTAAAGTCGGGCTATCATCAGATAGAGGTTCATCCTGGTGATCAGTACAAGACGACATTCAAGACTAAATACGAGCACTACGAGTTCATAGTGATGCCCTTTGGACTAACCAAGCACCAACCACATTTCACCGTTGTATGGACGATTTGTTTAGGTCGCGATTAGACAGATTTGTGATTGTATATCTAGATGACATTTCAGTATTTAGCAAGACGCTCCAGGAGCACGAGGCTCATTTGAGGCGGGTCTTGGAGAAGCTAAGAGAAACTAACATCAAGATCATTGCAAAGAAGTGTGAGTGGGCCAAGACACAAATATTGTACTTGAGCCATGTTTTAGATGGCATAAAGACTGAGGGCAGCAATATAGCAACGATTAGAGATTGGTCGACTCCCCGCACATTGATAGAGTTGTGGTCGTTCCTAGGGTTGGCAAATTACTGCAGGAAGTTCGTGAGGAACTTCTTTGCCATCGCTGCCCCCCTTCCCAAGTTGCTAAAGAAAGAAGCGATCTGGAAGTGGGACCAAGATTGTACATCTGCCCTAAAGAAATTGAAACGGGCTTTGATAGAGTACCCAGTCCTCAAATTAGCCGCTCCATCCTTGCCCTTTGTTGTCACCACTGATGCCAGTCAGTATGGTATAGGTGTTGTTCTACAACAAGATGATGGCAATGGGTATAGACCCGTAGAGTCAGTGTCTGCTAGGATGCCTTCAAAGAAGGTAGCGACATCTACCTACGAGAGGGACTCTACGCTCTCAGGCGAGCGCTAGACCATTGGAAGCGTTACTTGCTTGGGAGACACTTCAAAGTCTACTCAGACCACGAGACATTGAGGTGGCTGAAGAGGTAGGCCAAGATGACACCTAAGCTTACTAGGTGGGCCGCAAAGATAGACCAATTTGACTTTGAGCTCAAGCCTGTTAAAGGAAAATACAATGTAGTTGCGGACGCTCTAAGTAAAAGGGCCGATTACTTTGGAGCGATAGTACACTATCTGGACATAGGGAGACAATTGCAACAGAAAGTCAAAGAGGCGTCCGTGCAGGACCCTATTTATAGCGACCTCCTCAAGAGAGTTAAGGAGTTTCCAGAATCTGAACCAGATTACCGCACTACAGATGGGTTGTTATTCGAGAAAACTCATGTAGCTGATCGACTATGCGTTCTCAACAATGAGGAGATCCGTAGTTTGATCCTAGGGGAATGCCATGACACAGAGGGACATTTTGGTTGGCAAAGGACATTAGCCAACCTCGTCCGCGCGTATACATGGCCTGGCATGAAGGCTGATTGCATAGAGTACGTATGCAGTTGTAAAGTATGCCAGGGGAATAAGACCACTACGCGAGCTCCTCTTGGTCTTCTCAGACCCTTGCCTATTCCCGTAGGACGCGGAGATTCTGTGTTCATTGATTTCATGGACGTTGGGGTCAAGAGTAGGCAGGGCAAGAGCCAACTCGTGGTTATAGTTGATAGGTTTAGTAAGTATGGAGTTTTTGTTCCTTTGCCTTTAGAGGCACGCACATATTTAGTAATAGAGAAGTTCTTTGATCATTGGGTGAGTGAGCATGGTATACCGCTGTCGATAGTTGGTGACAGAGATACCAGGTTCACCAGTCAGAAATGGCAGGAAATGATGAGAGTCTACGGCTCTAGGTTGTTGATGTCGTCTGGCCACCATCTAGAGACTAACGGTCAGTCCGAACAGATGAACAAGATCCTGCAACAAGTTCTTAGAATGTACATTAGAGCTGATCAAGTCAACTGGGATGAGATGCTCCCAAAGGTAGCCAGTGCATATAACAACAGCGTGCATTTAGCAACCTGTCGCACTCCCAACGAACTGCATAAGTCCTTCAGACCGCGTAGTCGGTTTGAGGGACTGAACCAGGATCAGATCCAAAGGCTACCGCCCGGTACTAGCGAGTTTGCACTACAGCACAAGAAAGAGATTGCTACCGTGATAGAGAACCTCAGGAAGGCCCAGCATAGGATGATAGAGCAAGCCAACAAACACCGTCGCCCGTCGCAGCTCCCGGTAGGCAACCTAGTCTGGGTCAAGTCCAAAGAATTTGCTCCTGAGGAGAACATCTCGCAGAAACTGTTACCCGCATATAGAGGACCGTGTCCAGTTCTGACGTTAAGAGCGGAGAAGATGGACCATCCTACACCATAGAGATTCCAGTGCACCTCCACACGTAACCCATGTTTCATGCGTCAAAGTTGCTGCCTTGTACGACGAATGAGCGATTTTCGTCGAGGAGATCAATGATCCCCACAGATATGGATGGAAGGTACGACATTGAGCGCATCATTGAAGAGGATGTATTTAGGACCGGAGGTAGAGGTCGTCCCCAGAAACAGTACAAAAGATTTGCTTATCAAGAGCCAGAGGATGACCGCTGGTTTACACAAACAGAACTGCTAGAAACCGCCCCTGACATAGTCCGCGTCTATGAAAGAGGGAGGAAAGGTAAAGACCCTGTCTTGAACTAGAATATTCTCAGAGGACCTCAAATTTAGGCCGGCGGGAGTGAAACGGGTTTCACCTTTGCAGTAGCAAATGCAGATCCCAGGGCTCGATCCCTAGACCTTGTCCTCACCCGTGTACAGTACCAAGTCGACCCCTGTGTGTTTGAACCCGTGACCTGTGTCTTGGTAGTTGGCTGTTGACTGTCGTAGTTCTGTGTAGTTGTCGGGTTTTGAACCGCAGGTCTGTCAAGTAGGGGTCATAGCTGTGTAGAAGTCGTAGCTGCTACAGTCCTGAAAGGTCAAGGTCGTAGCTGCTACGGTCCCGAAAGACCAAGTCTACAGACTTCCGGAAGGTCCCCTTTCGAGAGTTGCCAGAGTCAGGCCAGAGGCAAGTGGGCAAGTGGGCAGTCCAACCTCACCTAGTCAGCGGTACCCAGTCCCAGTCGCACCTTGTCCAGTCAGCAAGTACCATGTGGGACTGTGTGCACCCTAGGCCCGGTGGAAAGGAGCAGACCAGCAACCAACCGAAGTATAAATCAAGAGGCAGCGTCCAGTTCTTCATTAATTCAGACTGCGAGCCGTGCGGAAGCGCTGCCAGAGCGACTTGTGCAAGGAGCTCTGCAGGTGCCCGAGGGAGAAGAGGGCAATGAGGGAGACGAAGCATATACAGCCATAAGTGCTCTAGGTTAGAGATAGGCTACACCGTGTATGTGTATGAGTGTGCAGTGAGTTGTGTGCATGTGTGGGACATCTAGGGAGATCCATAGTAGCGTGCGTGTGAACAGTTGCTGACGATACAGCGTGGAAAGGATGTTGTGAGCGCGCACAGGCGCCATAGCCGTTCGAAGCAAGTTGAATCTGATCTGTGTTCTCGGCCACGATATCTCTGAGCTTTGGGTGGGCGCCTGGCACCAGTGTGATTGCCATCTGTTTCATGCATGCTGAGTGAGTAAGAAGACGAGTCTGATTGCATTTATCACAAATCCAGCTGGTACACACAGGCTTACCACCAGCCATGACATCCTGCGAACACATGGTTCCCTGAACGTGCACTCCAACTGCACGTCAGCTATAGATCACACAAGGATTTCCTGACAGATTATTCACTTTGCGTTTGAAGATAAAGTGTCAGGTCTGAGACTATCAGAAGAAACTTGGGCATTCACGCTCCTGTTTTCTTGTTGTCACTTGCCCTGGTATTACTTCTTGACCCAACAAATTGATGCACTTTGAAAAAAAATCAAGAGTTAGAAATTTACGACTCTCGCAGAAAGTGAATTGATTTTCAGTGACATGAATTATCAATTGAACTCTTTAAGTTGCGGACGAGTTATTTGAAATTCACAATGAAAATCCAAAATCGTGAAATAGAATAATCAATTCAATTGAACTGTCATTTGCTTACACGCGTTAATTTCTGGACAACCCTGAACCAATGTGTAAACCAAACCCTACACACATATCTGCCCTGATTGCTGAAAGCTCCTCTATACCTCTCTTATCCAGCCCATGTGATCTCTCTTCTCTTATCCACTCTACACACATATCTGGCCTGATTGCTAAAAGCCGACGGTTCATAGCGTCAAGCAAGGTACCATACTATCCAGCTTCCTCCTGCTGAACACGAGTTTTCACGTTCTCACAAAAGGTACCATGCTATCCAACTTCCTTCTGCCGAACACGAGTTTTCATGTTCTTACAAACCCGCTCACACACACACACACACACACACACACACACACACACACACAGAGATAGATAGATAGATAGATAGATAGATAGATAGATAGATAGATAGATAGATAGATA